CCTGCGTGCCCCCGCACATCGACGACGTCAAAAGCACGCCGCCGCGGCCCGCGCGGCTGCCTCTGCTGCGGCTTGCGGGCAAGCCAGCAAAAACGCCCCCCATACTGCCGACGACGTGGACCTCCCTGTTCCTCGCCCCTTTTCCCCGCCCCCCCACTCCCACCCCCCCCCTCTCTCCCCCCTCGCGCGCTCTTCATCCTGCCCGCCGCCCTCTCACATGAACCCCCCCGTTTCCCCTGGCCATCTGCGCCGCGACCCCCCGCGGCGACCCCGGTCCACGGCACCGCTCGCATCCAGCCCAGCCCGCGCCGATTGCGCCAGCGCCTTGGGCAGCGAATTCGGGTGCCCCCAAAAATTTTGCTAGATGGCCACCGCGACACAGGGCGGCGAAAGATATCCCCCAGGCTCCGCACCAGACGCCGGCACAATCGCCGCGGGGTCTCGATCGGCGCGGCCCCGGGGCGGCCGCGATTTGTTCAGGTGCTTTCGAGATGCCCCAACCGAAATGCACAAAATCTGCCAAATAAAGTAGGCGCCGCATTCGCAGTCCCCGGGGGAGGTCGGCGCGCCCATTTGAAATGAGTGAAAAGTAAGCGGCCGAAATAGGCGAGACGCCCACCGACTCTTCGCGCGCATTGTTCGCATATGTTCCGTCTATTAGTTGCACCTGTGTTGCACAAAAAATGCGCAAAACAAATGTTATACAAATCGATGGCCGGGGAGGCGCCTATTTTTCAGACCCAAAAATGTGTAAAACATATGCGGAAAAATGGCCCGCCACGATCGGTGGAAATGCAAATAAGCGCGAAATAACTTGTTCCTGGCGGCAGCCAGCGGGGGCGAGGTGGAATGGCGCGACGCCCCCGGGACGCCCGCGACGGAATGCGGCTGCCCCATGCGGCCTCGCCCCCCCCCCCCCCCCCTATGCACCCTTGGGATGAGAGCCCGGCCGCCTCCCGGCGCCAGGTGGGCGGGGGGGCGGGCGGGGGCGCAACGCCAGGCGAGGGGCGCAGCCGCGCGGCTCGGCAGATGACGTCTGCACCGCGCCACCCCCCGCGGCAATGTGCCCAAGAGAGTTTCGCCGACATGGTGCGGCGCCTCAAAGGCAATGACACTACGAGAAAATGCCGTGGCCCCGAAGGGGGCCCCAGTCGTCCCCCCTGATGGGAGGCCCACCGAAGCCCCCAACGGCGGCGGCCGCGCGCGGTGCTCGTAGGCCCCTCAAGCGTTTGCCCAACCGAAATCCGCAGTGGCAGAGGCTGCGCGCCCCACATGCACACCCCTCCCACGCTTCGCGGCCCCACAGGCGACTCCGTCGAGGCCGCGGTAGCAGGGGCCGCGCGCGGCCCTTGAACTCCCCAGGCCCCATCAAAGGCCCCAGCGGCATCTGCCGCGCGCGGCACTTGCGCACCCCTCACGCGTTCGATGGCCCGAATAAGGAAACCCGCCAAATGTCCCAGCGTCAGCGGCCGCGCATGTACTTGGGCACCGCTCGCGCGCGTCATGGGCCTATGGGGACCTACACCGAAGGCCCCAAAGGCGGCGGCCGCGCGCGGCACCTGCAGAACCCTCACGCGGTTTGCGGCTCGACGGGGGGCCCCGCCGAAGGCCCTAGCGGCAGCGGCTGGACGCGGCATACTTGCGCAACTCCCACGCGTGTCGTGGCCCCGCAGGAAGCCTCGGTGAAAGCCCCGACCCCGCTGGCACCGCTCGAGCGGCGGCCCTGGTTCATGTCGGCATGCCCCTGTCACGCGCCCCGTGGCCCCCGTAGAAATTCCACCAGAAACTGCGATCAGAACTGCAGATGGGCGGGCCCTTCGCCAATCCTTCGCCAATAATTTGCTGGACGCGCACGGGCGACGCCAGGCCCCGCGCCGCGCCAATTCATGGCGCGCCCCCGCGGCGAGAGACCCCAAAACCGAACCATGGAAGTCGATCCCGCGCGTCGCTGCAGGACGCATGATCGCCCTGAGCTGCCATGACACCCGGTTTTCCCAGCAAAGCACTCCCTGCGCGCCGCAAGCACCGTTTGCGCTTGAGCGCCTACACTTTATAGCATAATGTCATGTAGTTTTCATATGTCGAATAGATGAATGTGTTCACCTAGTTGCGTAACTTGTATTACGGCTACTTTGAACTTGTTAACAGACCAGCACCTCTCCATATTACGTTCGTTTTCATCCTCGTGGGGCACGGAGCCTGACCCAACCCTTTATTCCACTGCTGTCTCCTCCATATCCCTAATCAGGGCAACTCGTCTGGGCATCGTTTCTGAATGGGCTGGTGGGGACATGCGAAGAGTCTAGAATATCAAGGTGTTGTTGCTTCCCCCTGAGATCGATACGCTTTTCGATGGTACCCTCCATGCGAGCGCTTCCGGACGGACGAACTGAATCCCACCAGCCCTCTGGGAGTAGGTGGTTTAACGAATTTTGTTTTCCATCGTCCAACAGCCCCTCCTTCCCCTGCTCCGGGGAGGGGTTACCCCTCCCCCTACACCGTCCCCTGGACCTGGGAGGAGGGGCGAGGGGTTGTAGCGTCCAAGATGGCCTAAGATGGACCCAGAATGGCCTCTGGGAGCGCAAGATGGCCGTCGAGATGGCTCAATAGACCTCAAGATGGTTCAAGATAGCCTCCGGCACACATCTAAGAGGCCTCACGATGAGCCCAGAACGGTTTCAAGTGCCGTCCGTGCCCTCCAAAGACCCCCCCCTCAGACCAAAATGGCTCCAACACAGAAGGAAAAACAATGTTGTTTGCCTTCTCGCCGTTTCGCTTCCGACCGGCCCTTGAGGCCTCAAGATGGCCCCAAGACGGCCCAAGAGAGCCCTAACAGGGACTCAAGACAGCCCCAAGACAGTCCCAAGAGCGCCCAAGAGCGCCCCAAGAGCGCCCGAAGAGGGCCTCAAGACGCATTGTTTGAGCCTCCGAGGGGGTGGGCGTCTGAATTTCTTAGCCCCCCCTCGTTTTGAGCCATGGGGGGCCGAGATGGCCACAAGAAGTCCCCCAGACCCCCTTCACGAGCCGCCTCATAAGTGCCCCAAGAGGCCCCGCTAGGACCCTAAGGAAGCCCAAGATGGCTCCAAGAGACCTCCGAGAAAACGCTTCCAAGGCGGTTGTTATACTGCACTTGTCTACACTTCCCTGATCAAGGCAACTCGCCTGGCGATTCGCTTCGGGATGGGCTGGTGGGAATACTTTTGATCGCGACCGCGGCGAGGAAAAGGTCGGGCGGCGTCAAGGGCGGTGCAGACTAGCAACGGCATAAATTAGCGTTAAGGAAAAGGAAGGGCGAAAAGAAGACAAGACCGAGCAGGGAAAGAGGCCAACAGGAGGCGAGCCTCGCTGCCGTTCAGTGGAGCGCGCACGCCAGGAAGTCCATCCGGGCGACATGCATCACCAGGTGGTAACGGCTGGCGGGTATACGTGAAGCGTCAAGAATTGATCAGGCGCTCTCGAACGGAAAGCTGGAAAACGCTTAAATCGCCCAGGCCAGCATCGGGCCTGGTGCCCCACCTCCTCCTCCTCCTCCACCTCCTCCTGCTCCACCTCCTCCATCTCCTCCTCCTCTTCCCCTCCTCCTCCTCCTCCTCCTCCTCCTCCTCCTCCTCCTCCTCACAGTCGTCGTCGTCGTCGTCGCCACCGTCGTCAGCATCATCATCATCATCATCATCATCATCATCATCAGCATCATCATCAGCATCATCATCATCATCATCATCATCAGCAGCATCATCATCATCAACATCACCATCATCATCATCATCATCATCATCATCATCATCATCAACATCATCATCATCATCATCATCAGCAGCGGCAGCATCACCAACATTGCCATAAACTGCAGCATCAACAGCATCGACATACTCATCATCCTCATTTGCATCATCACCATCATCAGCATCAGCATCATCATAATCATCAGCAGCATCATCAGCATCATCATCGTCAGCATCATCATCAGCAGCAGCAGCATCATCGGCATCGTCATCCGCATCATCGTCATCAGCAGCAGCATGATCATCAGCAGCACCATCAACACCATCAGCATCATCATCGTCAGCAGCCGCATCATCATCAGCAGCATCATCAGCAGCATCATCATAATCAACATCATCAGCATCATCAGCAGAATGATCAGCATCAGCATCAGCATCATCAGCAGCATCGTCATCATGGTCGCCAACATCACCATTATCGTCATCAGACTCATCAGCAGCATCAGCATCATCATCAGCAGCATCATCGTCACAAGCATCATCACCATCATCATCGTCAACAGCAATATCATCATCGTCAGCAGCATCGTCACCATGATCAGCATCATCAGCATCAGCATCATCAACATCATCAGCGTTAACAACAGCAGCACCAGCATCATCATAAGTAGCATCATCACAAGCGTCATCATCATCATCATCATCAGCACCATCACCAGCATCAGCATCACCATCATCATCAGCAACAGCAGCAGCATCAGCAACAGCATTCGCATCAGCATCAGCACCAGCATCAGCAAAAAGCATCAGCAACATCATCATCATCATCATCATCATCATCATCATCACCATCAGCATCATCATCATCACCATCGTCATCAGCATCATAACCGTCGTCGTCGTCGTCGCAGTCGTCGTCGTCGTCGACGCTGATGTCGTCGTCGTCGTCGATGTCGTCGACGGCGAAAACGACGACGAGAATGACGACGACGACGACGACGGCGGCGACGGCGACGGAAACGAAGACGACGGCAGAGAAGGCACAGGCGAAGGCGACGCCGTCGACGACGGCGGCGACGGCGGCGAAGGCGAGGTGCGGAGGCGGAGGTGGCGAAGGGGGAGGGGGAGGAGGAGGGGGAGGAGGGGGAGGAGGAGGAGGGGGAGGAGGAGGAGGAGGGGAAGGGGGAGGAAGAGGAGGAGAAGGAGGGGGAGGGGAGGAAGGAGGAGGGGGGAGGGGGAGGGGGAGGGGGAGGAGGCGGAGCGAAGGCGTGGGGCGGCCTGGGCCCGCTCGCCCGCCCGCGCGTCGCCGACGTGCTTCCGCTCGTGGAGCTCGGCCTGGCGGAAGGTGCCAGCGCCGCCGCCGGGGCGCCGGCGCGCACCCGGGAGGGACGCCCGCACGAGGGCGCGCAGGGGTGCACTTTGGAGCCCTGCGTGCCTCATAACTTGCCGTCGCTCGGACGTCTATTTCCCGTGCATTTTTCGGTTTCGTGCGTGTGTTTTGTTGCTCGGTGGTCCAGGATGGTCCTCGATGGTTCTCGCCGAGAAAAAATGCACACGTCCGAGCGATGCCAAGATAAGCGGGAAGGGGGGGGGGAGGGGCAAGGGACTGTCACGGACGTAACCTCAGGTCTCGGGCTGGCCACTCGCGCCGCGTGCCCCAGGGCGAGCGGCGTCTGACCCGGCAAAAGGCGGAGGCGGATCGGAATGCCCAGAAGGGGACGTCTGACCCGTGAGGAGGCGGAGGCGGAGGATGAGGGGGCAGAGGAGGGAGGTGGAGGAGGTGGATAAAAAGGCGGAGGCAGGGATCGGCGAGCGGCAGTCAGGGGCGAGGAGGAGGAGGGCCGAAGCCAGGAGGAGGCTGAGGACAGAACACTGAGAGATCTATGGAGGTGGCGGAGGTGGCGGAGGAAGGGGGTCCCCACCCCAGAAGGCGCTGAACGCCTGTCTTCTCCCCAAGCAGTGCTTGCGCTTAAGGGCTCTTACTTGGGACACCCGTGGACGTCTCGTGGTCGCCTCGTGTTGCGTGGATCAGCCGAGGTTTCGATTAGAGCCCGCCCGTGGGCGCCTTGTGCGCTGGGTTGGTCCGCCGAGGTTTCGATTGGTGCCCGCCTCGTGGGCGCCTCCTGCGCTGGGCGGCTGCATGGCTTGCACTACATAGCGTGCACCATCTGGCTTACTCCGCATGGCTTGAACCACATTGAATACAGATGTGAGCGTTCTCTTATTCGGCGTTTCGACATTGGGGCCCAATGTCGAAACGGCGCGCCCGACACTCAAGCGCGCCGAAGCTCTAGCTACTCGCGCACGCAGAAAAGCTGCTCGCTCAATGAAAAAAGCCACGCTCGCAGGAAAGCTGCTCGCCCACAGGGCACGGCTACATTTCGGCTTTTCTTGGGCGGAATTATGCGAGGGGGGGGGTCAGTTTAAGCCGCGGCCTCCTCACATTGGGCGGAAGGGGGGGAGGGGAGGGGGTCTGGCTCCGGACCTCTGCTTAGTGCGACTGCTTGTAACCGTGCGTCCTATGGGGAAGACTCCACCTGCTCGAGACAGGCGCGAAAAACTGCCAATATCTACTCCATGGCAGGGGGAGGGCCGGAGGGGGTGCGAGGTGCGAGGGCCCGTGCCGATCGGCAAAATGATGAATAAGAAAACGGTATACAGATCTACAGTGCAACAACTTGCTGATTGGGGTCCACGCTGGCCAACATCTGATGTCGTTCGTTTCCTGTCCACAGAGGTTACGGCATGCGCATGCTTCATCCAACCATCATGAGCTCATGCCCCCCTGAGGGGGAACGAAAGAGGGGACCAGCTCAGTGGGCGGGGCGGAACACAGACATGGCATCGGCGACACATCGCTAATACCTAGACCGGCGATGCGCGCCGGATAGCGAAGGGTTCGGGCCCCTTTTGGCGATCCATGGACGATTGGGGATCGGTGCATCCCCCACTGAGCCGATCCCCACCCAACGTCTCCCTGGCTCCCGGGCCACGAATTCGGGCCTCCGGCGGCCGTTCGGGACGATCCCGGAAGCCTCCCGGCGAGGCGCAGCTGCTGGAAAGCACCTCGAGGTTGGAAAGCCGCCGAAAAGCCACGACCATGCATGCCCGAGAACCTCGATCCTAGAACCTCCGATGCCCCCAGGAGGAGGAGGAGGAGGAGGAGGAGGAGGAGGAGCACTGAGCCTGACCCCCGCCCTGGCGCTGCCCGCGATGCCGAGGGGGGGTGACCCACTGCTTCGAGGAGGAAGCGCCACTGCCTCGAGGAAGTGGGCCCCTTAAGGAGCGCTCCGGAGCCGTGCCAGACGGCCCCCACAGCGTCCGAGCACAGCCTCGAGCTTCGAGCCTGGAAGTCCCGACGCCCCGAAGGCGCTGGTGAGGCCCCCCGTTGCGACGTCCCTTGGCACTGCAGTGGAAACGCAGTCGAAAGGGGCCCTGGATGAGGAACGAGGCCCCTCCTGTTCCCAGAAGTGAAACTTCGACCTCCCATAGAGCACCAAAGGGAAAGCCCAAGAGAAGCTGCACATGTCGGTCGGGAAAAGTATTGGAATTATCCCGGCAAAGCAACCTAACAGCCATATGTAGAAGCATATCTGAAAGCATTCCCCTTAAGATTCAAATGAAAATCCAGTTGTAGAATTCTGCTGTTCTCGCAGTCGTAGTCGCATTCGCGATGACAGTGGCAGCGGCAACGGCAGTCGCAGTCACAGCCTCAGCCTCAGCCTGCCTCAGCCTCAGCCTCAGCCTGCCTCAGCCTCAGCCTGCCTCAGCCTCAGCCTCAGCCTGCTTCAGCCTCAGCCTCAGTCTGCCTTCAGCCTCGGCCTCAGCCTCAGCCTGCCTCAGCCTCAGCCTGCATCAGCCTCAGCCTCAGCCTCAGCCTGCCTCAGCATCAGCCTGCCTCAGCCTCAGCCTCAGCCTGCCTCAGCCTCAGCCTCAGCCTGCTTCAGCCTCAGCCTCAGTCTGCCTTCAGCCTCGGCCTCAGCCTCAGCCTGCCTCAGCCTCAGCCTGCCTCGGCCGCAGCATCAGCCTGCCTCAGCATTCAAAATGTGGCCCAAGAATGGAGTTCTGGGAACTAGAAGAACACGAAGTGGCCTACAGTTGGCTCCGGGCATTCAAAATCATGCCCAGGAATGGAGTTCTGGGAACTTGAAGAGCACGAAGTGGCCTACAGTTGGCTCCGGGCATCCAAAATGTGGCCCGGGAATGGAGTTCTGGGAACTCGAAGAACACGAAGTGGCCTACAGGTTGGCTCCGGGCATCCAAAATGTGGCCCGGGAATGGAGTTCTGGGAACTCGAAGAGCACGAAGTGGCCTACAGTGGGCCGGCCACTCAAAATGTAGCCTGGGAATGGAGTTCTGGGAGGTCGAAGAGCACGAAGTGTGTGACTGTTGACGAAAAACAAGCCCGGCTCTGTTCCCGGTTCTCCAGAATGTGGCCCGGGAATGTTCTGGGAGGTCGAAGAGCACGAAGTGTGTGACTGTTGGCGAAAAGCGAGCCCGGCTCTGTTCCCGGTTCTCCAGAATGTGGCCCGGGAATGGAGTTCTGGGAGGTCGAAGAGCACGAAGTGTGTGACTGTTGGCGAAAAACGATTCCTGGTTCTCCTCCCCGGCACCCGCCCAGACCCCCCTGAGGAGTCATGATGCTCTCTTTTGACCCTACTAGAAACCTATCAGCAAACGCTGTTAGGTAAATTATCCCGGCAAAGCAACCTAACAGCGATATGTAGAAGCATATCTGAAAGCATTCCCCTTAAGATTCAAATAAAAATCCAATTGTAGAATTCTGCTGTTCTCGCAGTCGTAGTCGCATTCGCGATGACAGTCGCAGCGGCAACGGCAGTCGCAGTCACAGCCTCAGCCTCAGCCTGCCTCAGCCTCAGCCTCAGCCTGCCTCAGCCTCAGCCTGCCTCAGCCTCAGCCTCAGCCTGCTTCAGCCTCAGCCTCAGTCTGCCTTCAGCCTCGGCCTCAGCCTCAGCCTGCCTCAGCCTCAGCCTGCATCAGCCTCAGCCTCAGCCTCAGCCTGCCTCAGCATCAGCCTGCTTCAGCCTCAGCCTCAGCCTGCCTCAGCCTCAGCCTCAGTCTGCTTCAGCCTCAGCCTCAGTCTGCCTTCAGCCTCGGCCTCAGCCTCAGCCTGCCTCAGCCTCAGCCTGCCTCGGCCGCAGCATCAGCCTGCCTCAGCATTCAAAATGTGGCCCAGGAATGGAGTTCTGGGAACTAGAAGAACACGAAGTGGCCTACAGTTGGCTCCGGGCATTCAAAATCATGCCCAGGAATGGAGTTCTGGGAACTTGAAGAGCACGAAGTGGCCTACAGTTGGCTCCGGGCATCCAAAATGTGGCCCGGGAATGGAGTTCTGGGAAATCGAAGAGCACGAAGTGGCCTACAGTTGGCTCCGGGCATCCAAAATGTGGCCCGGGAATGGAGTTCTGGGAACTCGAAGAGCACGAAGTGGCCTACAGTTGGCTCCGGGCACTCAAAATGTAGCCCGGGAATGGAGTTCTGGGAGGTCGAAGAGCACGAAGTGTGTGACTGTTGACGAAAACGAACCCGGCTCTGTTCCCGGTTCTCCAGAATGTGGCCCGGGAATGGAGTTCTGGGAGGTCGAAGAGCACGAAGTGTGTGACTGTTGGCGAAAAGCGAGCCCGGCTCTGTTCCCGGTTCTCCAGAATGTGGCCCGGGAATGGAGTTCTGGGAGGTCGAAGAGCACGAAGTGTGTGACTGTTGGCGAAAAACGATTCCCGGTTCTCCTCCCCGGCACCCGCCCAGACCCCCCTGTGGAGTCCAGATGCTCTCTTTTGACCCTACTAGAAACCTATCAGCAAACGCTGTTAGGTAAAAACACAAAACAAACAAACATGAAGTAGGAAGGCGGATCAAGTAAATAGGGCTCATGGCCTCCCATTTAATGACAATGCACAGCAAAAGCATATCGATTATTGAGATAGGAAGACGCTTGAAATAGCTAAGGATCTGGGAATCCAAAAATACCTACGTTCAACGACCAGCGTGTAAAACAATCCAGGAGCACCAAGCTCTTCCCCAACGCTACAAGGGTTCCTTCTGCAGCGGCCCGACGGTACCCGAGCCTGCCTGGCCCCCTCTTCGGCGTCCAGGCGAGGAAGAGGAGGAGGAGGAGGAGGAGGAGGAGGAGAAGGAGGAGGAGAAGGAGGAGGAGTGAGTGAGGAGGGAGGAGGGAGGAGGGAGGAGGGAGGAGGGAGGAGGACGAGGACGAGGAGGAGGAGCAGGAGGGAGTGAGGGAGTGAGGGAGTGAGGAGGGAGGAGGACGAGGAGCAAGGGGAGGCCTCCTCCTCGCTTTTCCACGCCTCGCCCTCTCGGGCTGTGATCGGGAGAGCCAGGCGACGCCTCTGCTCGGGCAGAGCGCAACCACCCCCATAGGGCTCCCATGTGGCCCCCCCTCGCATCGTATCGATGCGACGCAAACGGGTGGCCAAAAGAACTGAGTCCCTCCTCCCCTCCTCACCGTCCGCCTCCTCCCACCTCCCTCTTCCATCCTCCCTCCTCCCTCCTCCCTCCTCACTCCCTCCTCCATCTCCTCCTCCATCTCCTCCTCCTCCTCCTCCTCCTCCTCCTCCTCCTCCTCCTCGGAAGGAGTTCGGAAGCCTTCGGGCGTTTTCGTCTTGAATGTCTTCGTCGGATCTGGGAGAGGTTCTCGCCTCAGGATGCTGTCCTGCAGCTGCACCCCATCGAGAGAGTTCCAGGGGTGACCTGAAGATTCGGAACGGCCGCCGGAGGCCCGAGCTGTTGCCCGAACGCCGAACCTCCTGGGGTCGCAAAGAACTCCCAGCGAAAGGTTTTCGGCCGTTATCGGCCTCCTGGTGGCCTCTAATCAGGCACTGATGCAGTCAACAGAAGCAGCCCAGGGTGCGAAGCTTTGTCCCCGGGGAAGGGCTGCAGACCTCTGGGGGGCCACGTTCCCAGGCACCCGTGACGAGATGACTCATTCAATGCGCGCCCCGAGAGGTCCCGACCCCTCCCCCAGGGCCGGCTCTTCGTCCCGGATTTACGCCCGACTGCCCCGGGGCCCCAGCGGAAGCCAGGAAGAACGCCTGGGCTTCGGATAAGAGTCACATCGTCGGGGCGGGGCAGGGTCACGGCCCCAGCACGCGTGCCGCATGCTGTCTCGCTCACCCCCACCTGCCCTCCCGCCACGTGGCGCGCTCCAGAGGAAGGGCCTCGTCCTCGAGGGGTCTCGAAGGAGTTGGCACCGCTTCCCCTGCAGGGTGCGGCGGAAGGCCGGCGGAAGACGGCGAGAGGTCAGACGGGTGGCGAGACAAGCACGGAGCCGGGTGTGTCTGGGGAGGCCGAGGGCGAGGACGACTGGGAAGGAACGCCCTGCCGAGGCCGGGCTCACGCCAGCCCGAAGCGGGCGGGCTGGGAGATGGCCAGGGCGAGCTTCTCGGCGAGCAGCTCCCTGGAGCTGTACCTCGGAAGGTCGAGCTGGTTGAAGCACGTGTGGGCGCTGGGCAGGCGGTCTTGGTTCTCGTCCGTGGCGAGCACCTGCACCTGTGATGGGCAACTTTTGGGGGGGGCCAGCACAGGAGGGAAGCATCGGCCTGCAAGCGGCGACACATCGATCGGCAACACGCCCTCGATTGCAAATCCGCACGTTCCTGGGGCGGGCGGGCCGCAGTCGGCGAGCAGCAAATTAAGCATCGGGGGTCGGTGCATCCCCCTCTGAGCCCGTCCCCCCCTGGAATTGCCGCTGGACCTGGAACTGGGGCGACATGTCCCTGAATCCCCCCGGCGGGATCCGCGAGCTGCCGGTGCTGAAGTTCAAGAGGAGGGCGCGCTGCTCCTCGGTGAAGGACGCGACCACCTCCCAGAACCAGCCCAGGACAATTTCGTCGCCCGTCTCCTTGTGATAATCGGGTCGGGCGAAAGGGGGGGATAGCAAAGGGGGGGTTTGAGAATCAGCTCACGTAGCTGATTTTCCCGGCGCCTCCCGGCGCCAGAGGGAGCTATGTATCGAGGAATGGGCCCCTCGGTGGGGCCCAAACCAGCTGCATGCAGCAGATTTCGTAACCCCCCCTTTCCCAATCCCCCCCTTTCGCCCGGCCCGAGATGAGGCTTCGGCCCGCGGCTGGCGCGCAGGCGGCCCCCCAGGTATAGTCCGGAGCAGCCTCGGCACCCGAGCATAGTCCAGGGCGGCCTCCACACCCGGGCGCCACCTCCGGCGGCGCTCCGAGCCCCAGCGTTGAGGTCCTCCTCCTCCCCCTCCCCTCCTCCTCCTCCTCCCTCCTCCTCCTCTCCTCCTCCTCCTCCTCCTCCTCCTCCTCCTCCTCCTCCTCCTCCTCCTCCTCCTCGACCAACCCAGAGAAGGGGCCTGCTGAGGCCAGCGGGGACTGCGGCAGGTTCGTGCCGTGTCGACCCCGGCGTTGGTGCCTGACACCGCGGGGATCGCTCAAACTCGAACGATCGGCCGCTCCGTGAACGCCGGATCGTTCAACGACGGGGCGATTCTGGGCCACGGGCGGCGTTCAACCTTCAACGCAAGCGCTGGGGTCGCCGCCGGTCGACACGACGCGAACCTGCCGCAATTACCTGGGGGGCTGCCTTTGCGCAACCCGAAGCCTCACCATCTCCTTGGCGCAGCTCCTCCACTCGGCCACGTCGTACTCGTGCACGCCCGAGATCAGCAGGGACAGCTCCGCGGGGCCGACCGCAGCCTGCTTCAGGACGCCCACGGGGATCACCTCTGGGGAAGCAAGGAGGTACTCATACAGATACTCCCTGGACCCACACAGGGGCGCGTTCTGACCAGGATGTCGAGCCGAATCCAGCCGTGGTAAAAACGGCAGGGTAGCGGTATCAGTACCTTGCCTCCCCCGAACCTCGTGGAACCCGGAGACGAAGAACTGGAGTTCGTGCCTGCGGCCAGCGCAGATGCGGGCCTCCGACAGCAGTCCGATGTACTCCATCTTGTTCTCCTCCGTCACGAGAATCTCCCCGCCGCCCTCCTTCAGAGGTACCGTGTCGGGCATCAGGTCGGTGGGGGCCGACGTGAAGGTCAGCGGCTCGCCGAGGGCCGCGCTGGCCCTCTCCACCCCGCCCTCCTGCAGGAGGCCGATGATGCGGTGCCTGTTGAATCGCCAAACAACTGTATAAACATACGGCTACAGTCGGACCCAGGCCAGAAGAACATCCTTCAAGAGTATGAGACGCTCCGTCGGCCAATACTAACAGAACCTCGAATCGTACCCTCCCCCGGATGCACAAGAGCATCCAACAGACAAGAAGAACACTGGGGTACCCTCCCCGAACCGACCTCGATCTCAGACCTCGGTTGGACTGCGCATCGTGCTGCAATAAGGAACGCCGAACAAGGAACGAGGGGGCGCCTCTGGCCACCGCGAGCCTCGGCCACGAAGGGGTTCCACGACCCAGACCTGAGGAACGGCCAGCAAACCAGAGCCCCTCTTGAGCCCCGAGTGTACGCCACGAAAGGTACATATATATATATATACACATATATATGTATACACATACACATTTATATATATACATAGACATATACACAAACATATATACAGACACCCTCCGACGAACTTTGCGTGTACCTTCAGAGGGCGGCGGCGTATAACATCGCTGGCTCTCAGTGGTGATTTATACACCGCCACCCTCCCCAAGTGCCCCGGAACAAAAACCCACTGGAGGGTGTCTGTGTATATCTTTTGTGGCGGAGGGTGGTCCTTGCCTTAGCGGCTTGACTGGGAACGTCCACCAGAGGACCGCGCGCGCGGACCTCCGAAAGCTATGCCTGCGCCGTTTTTGTTTGCCTCCACCGAGCCTGTAGAAGTCGTTGTCCAGGTGGCGCACGTCGCTGTAGGACACGGCCTTTGCACGGTTTCCCCCGGGGCCGTAGGCGACCCGAGGAGGTGGAGGAGGAGGAGGAGGAGGAGGAAGAGGAGGAGGAGGGGTCCCGGGTCGCCTAAGCCCTTCGAAGAAACCCTCCAACGGCCTTCTCGCACAGGAGCTTCATGAGCACCTGCCCGAAGGACAGCGGCAGGGGCCGGCGCTCCAGGACCGCGACGCCGAGGAAGCGCCCCACGGCGGCAAGCTGCGTCCAGCGCGCCCGCAGCTGCTCCCGCTGCGCCTCGCTGCAGTCGGCGCCGAGGCACCCGCTCGGCCGCGGCAGGAGGGTGCCGTCGGGGGCGCAGGCGAGGAGCGAGGAGGAGAAGAAGTCGTCGATGCTCCTGCGGCGCTCGTGCTGCTCGCTGCCGCTGGCGAGCTCTCTCGCCAGGCTGTCGAACCAGTCCTTCGTGACGCCGCCCGCGTCGATGGCGTCCTCGCCCTGGAACCTGACCGTGAAGTGCTTGCTCAGCAGCTGTGCCACCGAGGCCGTCTGGAGAAACTGAAGGCTGCTCTTGAGCAGGTCCTCGCGGACCACGGGCCCCAGATTGTACATGTCACCGACCTTGCCGCCATGGCTCTCGATGCTGCCACATCTCAACACCTCCCGCTTCCTCTCAACATCCTGGGCATCCACGTTCAAGAGGGTGCTGAGCCTCCGCATCAGCGGGCGGGCGGTGAAGCTGACGCTCCGCGCCAGCAGGCCGTGCTGTTCCTCCATCTGTGCCTGAAAGGGGCCCTTCTTCATCACCTGCTTGAACATTTCTTCGTGGTCGAAATCCTCGGCAAAGAACGGCACCCGTGGCCGTTCGCAGGCCAGCGCCAGCAGGAACCAGGCGAGCGTCACCAGGCCGAGCCACTGGTGTGGCTTCGGTGCAGGGCCTGTTTCGGAGGAGCTCAGGTACTCGCCGAGCGTCCAGATGCAGTTGTGCAGATAGAGCCACACCGGTAGCATTAGCGGCCAGGTCTTCAGCCAGGAATCGAGTACTGCGATGGGCGCCAGAATGAGAAAGGAGAAGATCAGCATTAAAATGTTCCCCAGCACGTACACGACGTTCAGCCGGAAGGCGCTGAGCCCGCTCAACGACTGCTGAATCTGGCCATACACCTGAGCCCGCGCGTACCGCATCGGGATGACGACCTGCATAATCAGAACCCTGGCCAACGTCCAGTAGAAGAGGCAGCCAAACAGCAGTGGCCTCCACGCCCCGTTGAGGCCCGCGGCATCCAGGCCAGGTAGTCCGCCATCGACCAGCGCGTTCGCCACCACCCGTGGTGCGGCGAGTGCGGCGCCGACGCTGCCCCAGAAGGGGTCGAGGTGCTCCGGCATGGTCGCCTGGGAAAGGTGTGGTTTCCCCCCTGGCCCGACGTCACCGAAGGGTTCACAATCGATGGCAACGAGGACGACGAGACAAGCCCAAAGCCTGGAAACGCACGGTGTCGCAATCGACCCAACTCGCCGCCTGCCCTCCGCGAGTAACCAGGACAAGCTCATCCGAAAATGGCAGGCCTGGGAAGAGGAGAGGGAAGCAGGGGGCGCGAGCCTCGAGGAGGCTCAAGAGGTACACGTCGGCAGCAGCCGTGGACGCCCTGACCAGGGAGAGGCGGGCCAGCGGCCACGGCGAGCCAGCGCACCCTGGCCCGCGGCAGCACAGGGCGGCCGCGCCCCTGGCCAGGAGCGCGGCGGCCGACACGCTGCCGTACAGGGCCTGCGCGCCCAGCAGCGCCTGCCCCAGCACCCCGAGGAGCGCGGCGCACTCGAACAGCGCGGCGCCGACGATGCAGGGCCGCTCGGCCGCGGGGAGGGCGAAGTTCGAGGCTCCTCGGAACGCGTGTCAGCGCCAGCTGGCACTTGCCTACTGGAGCCCATCAGTACCACGCAGGCGGCGTCATGGAGGACGACGTGGGCTGCGTGCTGTCGGCAGCGCCTTGACGATCAGCAAGCTGTGAAAACATCAACTCTCGGAGGGTCCGCGCGGATGTCGTGGGTCGGCGCTGGGGCCCCCCTCCCTGGCGCGCTGGGGGAGGCACCAGAGGCGCCGCCAGGGGGGCCCAGCGCCGATCCAAGAAAGCCGCTCGGACCTCCGATAGTCTGTTTCTAGTCCCGAAAGACAGCTTACATCGCATAGTTCCCACCCCCACAGTTCACACCACAGCTTACACGACATAGCTTTCACCACATAGCTCACACCGCACAGCACCCACGTCCACAGAGCAAGAACGCACTGTTTCGGGTCCGCGCTGGCTACGGACGTGAACTTGTGCTCAGCATGTCGCGGCGGCGGCCCCGGCGACACGCTACGCCTTGCGACCAGATGGCGTGCCGCAGCCCTCCGCGGGGCGGGAGGCGGGAAGAAATCGAGACGTTAACGCTTGGGGACCGGGACGCGGAGAGCGTGTCGCGCCGAAGCGTGGTGGGCCAGAACCAGCGGCGCGACGCGCCGAGCCAAAGTTCGTGACCGTTACATGCAGTGTTGTGTCCGTCGAGGGCTGAGCGGTGCAAACTAGCAAGTGAGATTCCCAGGGGCACGGCTGCTAAAACTGGGCCCGGAAACGCGCCCAAAACAGACCGGTTTGGGACTTCCCAGAACGAAGCAAAAACTCAACCACTCCCGGAAGAGGGTCGGGAAAATGGTATACGGCACCCCCTTTTCAAAAATACATGTCGAAATTTACAACAAATTGACGGCTTCGTCGGTTTGGCCGGAAACATCCCGCGAAAAATGGCCCGCGGCACCCCCCCAAATGGTTCACTTTGGCGGCGCATTTTTTGTAGCCGTGCCCCCAAGAAAATAGTTCCTGTACTTGGGCCAACACACGCCCTGAGGACCCTCGAGAAGTACTGGCACCCCCAGCCCAGCACGAACAGCGCGAACGCCGGGATCGCTGGGCCCACCGCGTATGGCCTCAGCGTCGCCCCGGCGCCGCCGAGGCCGAGCGACGCGCGGGCCGCCGGGCTGGTCGCGTCGTCGCCGCCGACCGGGGCGGCGGACGCAGGAGGACGCCGACTGCACGCCCACAGCGAACCAAGGCCAGGAGCTGCAGTCATCGTATTACTGTGAGGAACGAAGGGGCTCTGTTCTGGCCACGGCGAACCCAGGCCAAGAACAGCTTCCCCGACCTGCAAGTCCAAGGAACGACCCGAGAATCGGAACCCCTCCTAGGAAGGAGGGCACATACGCCGGGCATGGGCCCAGGAACAGCCTAGTGAGCGGTTTTGAAATTCGGCGTTTCGACATTGGGCGGAAGGGGGGGGGAGGGGGGGGTCTGGCTCCGGACCTCTGCTTAGTGCGACTGTTTGCAACCGTGCGTCCCATGGGGGAGACCTCATCTGCTCGAAACAGACGCCAAAAACAGCCAAGATCTCCTCCGGGGGGGTGGGAGGTGGGGGCTGCGAGGGCCCGCGCCGATCGGCAAAATAATGAATAAGAAGACGCTCACCACTGACCAGAATCGGCGCAGCTTTTTGTTTCGGCATGCAGGTGTGCAGTCGGTGCCCTCCGAGGGCGGAAGCAGAGCCTGCTCCAAGTCGACGCCCACCGCGGCGCCCGCCATCGCCTGCGGCGCCCCCGAGCGATCCCCCGAGCGATCCCTAGCGCAGTCGGCGGCCAGCGCGGCGGAGGGGGCGAGGCGGGCGGTCGGCGCCCGCGGAGCCAGAGTGGCCGAGCACGGGAAGGGGGGGGGGCGGCGGGAGGAGGGGGGGGCGGGAGGGGGAGGGGAGGAGGAGGGAGGAGGATGAGGAGGGGAGGAGGAGGAGGGAAAAGGAGGAGAAGGAGGAGGAGGAGGAGGAGCAGGAGAAGGAGGAGGAGGAGGAAGAGGGGGAGGAGGAGGAGGAGGAGGAGGAGGAGGAGGAGGAGGAGGAGGAGGAGGAGGAAGAGGGGGAGGAGAAGGAGGAGGAGGAGGTGGAGCGAGCGTCCCAAGAAGAAAGGTGCCTCCTCACGCACCCGCCTCGCGCGCGCGCCCGCCTCGGAGCCTCTCAGGGCCTCTCAAGGCCTCGGTGCCGACGTCCACTTGGTCGCTGGACTCAAAGAGGTTGTAGAAGCCCGAGCGATCAGGCAGAGCGGCGCGAGACCGTGCCGACAACGTCGAAGAAGTCGCAGTATACCGCGAAGTTGAAATGTCTGGTTTGGCAGTGATGTGGTCCAGAGAGGCGCTCGGCGGGTCATCATGGGAAAGGGCCGCATGGGTCGTCGCAGTCTGCATCGACCTCAGCATCATCTCGCCGACCAGGGAGGGCGGCAGCACGACACCGCAACACTCACTGAGTAAACGAAGGTCACTTTCGATAGCGACTGCCCTTCGCAAAAACAGCGGCGCCGACGAAGCTAACCCAGAACAGGAAGAACGCCATTACCTCTCAGAGATGAGCCTCGCCTCAATGATCGTGTCTACACCAGGTGGGGAGTCTTCGCGGTAGGCCTTGAGGGCACCCCTCATGGCCGTCCAGCGCCTCTGAGGAGTGAGGTCGCTCATGACCCTCTGAAGCACCTTCGCCGCAACCTCATCCTGGAAATGTGGATCGTGCCGCTTCCTTTCAACGCCGTGCTCAATGCAGTTGGCGTGCGCCTGGGCCAGAGCAGGGACGGCAATGCAGCCCCGGCCACCAGCAGCAGGAGAAGCGTCATGGGCGTCCTTATCTCGAACGTCACCATGCCCAGCAACTGACGGCTCCGCCACCGTAGGCCAAGAAGCGGGTGGTAAGCTCGAAGCGCGGGTAGACGGCGTGCGTGTCGAAAACGACGAGGGAGGTACCAGCATAGCGACATTATGGGGCGACCGGCTCCATGCGCTCAGGGAACGTGTGCGGCGACGAGTCGAGCGAGCATGACGATGTCCAACAACGTGTCCAGGACGAGCCTCAGAAGCGTGCGAAGCACCCCCAGGAGCGCCACGCTGAGTAGCAGCAGAACCATCAGCATCAGGGGCACGAGGAGCAGGAACACCAGCATCAGCCCGATCCACAGCAGGGCTCCGAAGCGGAACAGAATCGTCAGCTTCGACTGGAAGCACAGCACCAGAGCCTGGGCGTGAATCGTCATGGCCACGGGGTTCCGCACAGGAGCCGTGCAGAGCCGACCGCAGACCACGATGATCCACGCCTGAAGCCAGAGCGGCGTCTCCATGGCGGCTATCGGCACCAGCGGCGGCAACACGGGCAGAGCACAAACGCCAGCGCCATCATCCGCGCCAGCACGAACTGCAGACAGTGGACGAACAGCGGCAGCACCACGAACAGGATGAGCAGCAGTGCAGCGATCGCGATCGTGATCGACAACCTCGGGACCACCAAGCCATTCACGGGCAGCTCTCTCTTCGAACACGCAGAGCTCAGATTCAAAGTCCAGGTCATTCACGAAGGACGAGGGCTCCGTGGAGAAATCCATGAAGAAGTCGGCGTACGAGGAGCTGGCGGCGTAGATGCAGTCGACGGTGGTGTAGTCAGTGGAGCAGCCGGTGTAAGCGTAGGTCGTGGTGGGATCCGAGGTCTGGTCCATGGCAAGCGGGGTCACGGTGTAGGCGACGAGCGGCGTGGCCATCGTGCAGATGAGCTCATTCATCGTGTACGTGAGCTGGGTCAAGCACGCGAGGAGGGGGGGACCCGACTGAGGCGCCTCCTCGGTTAGCAGACAGGCGTCGGAAGTGAAGGCCGTCGTGCGGTCAGGGGCCAGGGCGCCGGCTCGAGGCGGGGTTCGGTCGTGCTCTCCACCAGCATCAGCGGTGTGAGGAGGCTCATCCGCCCAGCGAGGGCGAGGAGCACCAGCATGGGCCCATTGTCCAGGACAGTCATCATATCCCGCAGGGTCCCGACTACCATCACGTCCATCAGCATGCACGGATGGTCCTTGAAGGTCTTGGTGACGAGGCTCGGGGGTGTCCTCCAGCTTAGCAGCAGGGACAGCTGTTCCATGTAGAGCCTGGTGACGATGCTTGGCGGCGTCCGCTAGCTCCAACGTCGCACGAGCTGCGGCATGAGCGTCAGGAGAAAGCACACCTCGTCTGAGCGCACGGTGTGCAGCAAGTTTGCCAGAAGCGGCAGGGGCGATCCCATGCGCCAGGCCCTCGGTATCGAGCAGGCGATGGAGGGCTTTGCCTTGGGCCATGCGCTTCACGTCAGCCCTGTCAGCAGCATCCACTTCCACGAACGCCTTCCCAGGCCCACTGTGGGAAGTCGCGAACCAAATATCCCGCTCACGGCGGCGGCGCTGAGCAACAGTAAGCGGGGCCCCCGCGGCAGAGGCGGCCACCCGAGATCTGCAGGTCGGCATCACAGAATTGCACGAAGCAGCGCCCACGCAGAGGTGGGAGATGAGCACGAAGAGAGGGCAGGCC